GCACATCACCATCGAAGCACGTCCTCCAACAGTGACTTGGTTTATCTCAGACTGGAAGATCTTCACGTTGTCACGTTCAAACTACAGTTTGATTGATCCAATATAAATGCAAGCAAATCACAGTAAGTCGTGCTGTAACTTACAACGTTTTCCGAATGTTTTGCAGCAACTTTGCTGTGTTGGGTGATGTTCACCATTCCTACAGAACAGGGGGCCCTGATGGAACCCAAATGTTTGCCGGTTCCATTTGTAGTTTGTAGATGCTTTGTGTCTCTCCCAGAGGATCATTTGGCGCAGGATTCAAGCTTTGATTCTCGTATCTAGTTCATTTCAGTAAATTGAAAGCCTGGAAAGGATCTCACTGTGCTGTTCTATGGTTAGCAGATTTCACCTGCCTTTGTTAATCCATGTTATATATATATAATCCCTTCAATTATATGCATCCATTCTCAAGCAAACTTTCCGTGGATTATGTATCTATCCCGTCTATCCCCTTCCGTGGCGCAGAAGCCGCTTAATCCGAGGTTGCAACGTGTTGACCCAGAGAAGATCAACTTTGACTTGGTTGCCCAAGTGGTTCGCCATATCCACTGTCAGGCTCCGGGGGCTGAGTGGCAGAGCGGAGCGGAAAGGCTTCCGGGCGGCATTTCGGGGTGTAGACTCAGCCGGGTTGGTTTGGCTGTCCAAATGCTTCCAACTCCAGGTTGACCCGTGCAAAGATGGCAAGTCGTATCCTGGCATGGTTGGTCGTTTGGTGGGGAGGGACTTCCGTAATGTTTGTTCAGTCCATGATAATTCTATATATATAATTCATGTATTTGCCCTCAACACTTGGAAGGGTAGAACTATGGTGGGCTTGGAGTTGCAACACCACACTCTCCTAATTATGCAATTATGCGCTTCATCACCCATGGCGGGTGAATCGTGGAAGGCAAATGCTTTTCGGGTGTTGGATGTGCTGGCAAGGGGTGTTGCCACGATGCATCATGATGCCATGCGTCAGAATGATCGGGCCACCAAGGCCTGGTGCAATCCTGGTTTTCGTACCAGGCTTGAGAGAAACTTGGCTCGTTGAAAATGTATTTTCTGAGATTGTTCCCCAAACACCCCCAAACAGTTTACTGTTGGTGTTGTTTATGCCGGCATATTTCAAATTAATCAAAACTGGCCATGTTGGCGACTGTCCTTTTAGAGGGCCAAAAGAAGACCAGTCTCGTGAGCATCGATTCTGACAGAGTTCTGAGATGTTTGTGCGTAGCTAAGGAGATAAAGAAAGCCATCCGCTGTATCACAGAGGACAGTAGCTGCTTCGGTTCAACACTCATGATTTCCTCGGTTCAAGCAGGTACACGCTGCATATTTATGCAGATTGCAACGTCAGACGTTGGCACTTGGTCACTTGGTTCGAGCAGAGACAGAGTTTCCGAGGATCCCCTATTGTGCTCCACTGTTCCAAAGGCAAAGGGAGGGCATGCGTTTGGAGCTCGTCAAGCCGCCCTTGGTTGCAACCACGCACACCCGATCACGGATGGGTTGGCCAATCACAGAAGTGATATGCTTTTCGGCAACCAGGACGCAGGGGATGGCAAGGGTGGAAAAGGACGAAGCATTGAAGATAGAGGCTGGTACAGTGGGAGCATGTGGCGCTCGAAACTGCAGAGCATTTTGGAGAAACGAGAGGGATATGAAAGGGACATGAGAAAGGCCCTTGACTCGATTGATGCTACCTTTGGTAAGCAGGTGGCAAAGGTGCAAGCAAAGGCGGACCCGAAGTCACAAAGGCAACCCAGTGGCAGCAAAGATTCATGAATCGGTCGGTGTTTTGCCTCCTAAGAGAGTCTTTACATTCTCATAGAAAGACACGCACCCCAAAAAAGTCAATGACAAGGAAAACATGCAGTTAGGAACTTTGGATAAGGAACAAATGCCTCCAAGCAGTCTCAAAAAAGAACTCAAAAAACATTGCAACGTCTATTGAGTCTAACTAAAGCCATCAAGCCGTGAGGGATGGCTAGGCGCAGCCAATCTGCCAAGGACGGGCTGTGGGTGCTACCGCTCCATTCCATGATCAGCGTCAATGAGCAACGCCTTGTCTTCAAAAGGCCGCCGCAAAGGGCTCGCAAGGTGGGGAGATCCTCTGTTGAAGTGTCGGCACCGGGTCGTCACGGGCGTCACGGGCACGCAAGGATGTGCAGCATGAGAATGCATAGGGCATAGATGGGCATAGGGTCATCAAATGTCGTTGAATGTCATAAAAATGTGGCAGACAGATGTAGACAGAATGTGGCATGAAGAGAGTGAAGAAGATTTAACGCCCTGAAGCTGCGATCTGCCAGTGAAATCATTCGGTGGAGAGCGAGCAGGTGGTGGTCACCACAAATATCGCGGAGACCTCGATCACGATCGATGATGTAGAGTATGCTTCATGACTGCACGACAGCATACGACAGTATCGACGGCCTGCAGGATCGGCAGAACCTCAGTGATCCTCGATTCTCAGTGTTTGCTTTGCTGAACGGCTTTTCTCAGATGGCTTTTCTCAAGTGGACGAAGTTCCTCAAGAGTCCCCAGGAATTGAGTGTTTTCTGCGTTTAAGTTGCTTTAAAACATAGCAAAGGCACGCAAGTACACAATCATTAAGCCCTAGTTAGCTCCGTCAAACAGCTCCCATAGCTTAGGTCGTCGATTGTGGCCGGCACAAGTCAACTGGCTTGCACCTAGAGCAGTACACATCGTAGGGGCGGAACGACACCGTAGATGGCAGAAAATAGTTGACATGTGTCTTCCAATATGCAGTTTTCCAGCACCAAGCCAGGTGCTTCTTAAGGGCGCCCTGCGCCTAGGCAAACCAAGTACGATCCACAGAACCGCATCTCCATGCTGGTGGACTGTGCAGAGACAAAGGCCGTTTCCAAAGCGAAGTTTGCACTGTCACTTCTTTGTTTTTGCTGTCCATAATCACTCCCCAGGGCTATTCACAGTCTATTTCTTGACATGATTGGATCTCAACTGCGAGCCAATCAGCTTTAAAGAACGTGCGAGAGGCCAATGCCAAGCAACGCAGAGGTCGAGCAGGCCCAGAAATAAAAGACGTGGTCAGTGGTCACGGAATAGATCTCAAGGTAGATGACGGGTGCGAAATTGCAGAAATCACCTAATTTGTGCCGTCGGTTTTAGCAACTACAAAGCAAAGTCATGGAGCACACAAAGCCAAACCGATTGTGACACATGTTTCCATCGAATACCGAACCTAGCATCAAGACAGTTTCGTCATGTTTTGTCACCAGCAAGGTCGAGTAAAGCCCGGTGTTTGCTACCATTTGGTGAAACTTGTCGCGGAAAGAGCGGGGTCACCTTGTTGGGAATGATATAGCATTGATCTGAATCAGCAGTGCATCGGTCTTAACAGAGAGTCCATGAGCCGCAATAAGAATAGCGCAAGGGAAGAAACAAGAGACTGGACAGGAAGTGAACGATTATGTGTAAATAGTGACTTTGTCCAGTGACTCCACAACCTTCAAAGCCTCATGTTTGGGTGTTCCTGCGATTTGAATTTAGAGTATGTGTCCTGTTCCAAACAGTGTTCCTAGGTGTTCCTTTTGTCAAAAGACGTAGAATCCTATAGACTTGTTGTGACCTGTTCATTGTTTATGTGCTGCCGCGCAATCCTTGCTTCCAATGACGTGGGGAGTCACCATAATACAAACGACTACGGTTCGTTAGGTAGCCAGTGCAACCATGACGTGTTTTTTGGAACATGTTGTTGCAACTGCGGGGGTCAGCGAGAAAGGAATAGGGCATCGCTACTAGTAGCAAGAAGCTACTAGGTTGGAGGCCATTACAACTTAGATCCTTTCCGACTTGGACAGCGGCATGTTTGCGGTCTTTCTTTCTACAGAGGTGAAGCCATAGAATGACTTCAGAACACATCGTGCATCATACCGAGTTGTTTGTGAGCTTGTGGCACCACGCGTTCGCATCCAAACACAAGCTGAGTGAAGTTTATATGTGTTTTGTGTCAATTTACTTTGATGTTTGATTGAACTTCTCAAACCCTGGAATTTACGACTATTCTATCATCATGTCTTGGGCGCACATCGCAGACTTATGCAGCCTTTCATGGTTTGAGGAACGTACGACGCTGGCGGCGGATGGAGGACTTTGAAAAGCCAGAAATGCTCAGGTGTGCGTTTGTGTGAAGCAGGAGGTGCTTGTTTTTGGCAGGGTCAAGTTTTGAAAAAAATGCTTAGTTTGTTTGGTTTGTGTTTGTAAAAACCGTGTCGTAGTAGATATGTGGCAGCAGGCCACCACAGCTTAAGGATTTACAATGCCAGCACTTTTGCATGGTGCCAGGGTGCCACTGGACTCCTTGTGCTTGCGGGTGTCGCTGATGGGTTTAGGCCACCCTGCGAAGATCCTGGCCAAGGCGGGGAGGCGCTGAGGGTAGTAGCCTTCTTGCTCCTAGTAGTAAGGCCAGGAGCCCCTAGTAGCGTCCTTGCTCCTAGTAGCGATGCCAGGAGCCCCTAGTAGCTTCTTGCTACTAGTAGTAATGCACTTGTTACTAGTAGCTTCTTGCTACTGCTCAAGCCGAAAGAACACCTTGGACGTGGCCGGTGTAGTAGTTCATCAGGGAGGCGTTCTTTTGACGAACTCGGAGGAATTCCAGGTGGCGCCAAGCAAGTGCGCTGTGGCCCTTTTTCGGCTCGAAGCGCTGCAAGCCCCAAGCAACTGCCAGCTGAATTCATCATGAAACACCTTGACACTTGATACACAGATTGTTACAGACTAGTATCAACATATAATAGTAATAGGCATTTGGTTCGAAATCATTCGAACTGATGAAACACCCGGATTGCACTAGTGCTGGATTGCTTCGTGGCACCTGGCCCCGCGGAATCGTCGAATCACATGGCACCAAGCAAACGTCAGCAAGTTTGACTGAACGGTTTGACTGACCAAGAATTTGAATTAAATAGCTTCTTGTTACTACTAGTAAGGCACTTGTTACTAGTAGCGATGCACTTGTTACTAGTAGCTTCTTGTTCCTAGTTGACAGAATTCCTCTTGTCTCTATGACAGAATTGCGGGAGCGCGCTGAAGCACAGCACGAGCTCAAGGCAAAGACTGCTGTGGCGCCAAAGGGGTTTGATTTTCTCGGATCTGCAAGAAAGGAGACCATCTCGGCAGGACAAATAGAACAGGTTGAAAGCTTCGCTAAAGCGGCGAACAAGACCAAAGGAGAGTTTGATGTCAGCCAAGATACACCAAAAGCTGGCCGAAAGCATTCCGAAACTCCTTCTATACAAAGGGAACTTGTATAGTTCGATGTACTTTTGTGTTAGGAACATTCTATGGGATCCTATTGAATATTGGATGAAGTTAGCTGTTTAAACTTGTTGTTTGTAATGGAATTCTTGGCCACTTGAGGACGACGGAAAGAGAGAGGCAATCGCAAAGATTCAGGCCGCGCAACGCGGAGTTGAAGATCGCCGCCTATTTCTGAAAGAGCTTGCTTCGGAGCAAGGGCAGGAGGGTGATGCAAAGAATCAGACAGCGACTGGACACATGGGCTCGGAGAAGGTGCCTACCACTGCAGTCGACGAGCAAGAAGCAGCGAAGAAGATCCAATCTTTGCAAAGAGGCAGGCAGTGCAGGCAACAACTTGCAGCGGACAAAGAGAAAAAACAGAAGGAGGTTGCAGCAGTTAAGATTCAGAAGTTACACCGCGGCAACAGCTGTCGCCTTCAAGTTGCCACAGCGCGAAAACAAAAGGAGGCTGCAGCCGTCAAGATTCAGAAGTTACAGCGCGGCAACAGCTGTCGCCTTCAAGTTGCAACAGAGCGAAAACAAAAGGAGGTTGCAGCTGTCAAGATTCAGAAGGTACAGCGCGGCAACACCTGTCGCCAGCAGATTGCCGCGGAGCGTGCTTTGGAGAGACAGAAGCACGAAGCGGCCAAGAAGATTCAGTCATTGGAAAGGGGCCGGCAGTGCAGACAAGAAGGGAAACAGAGGAATCTTGCAGCAACTAAGATTCAGAAGATCCAACGGGGCAAGGCTGGCCGAAAAGAGTTCGAGCGCGAGAAAGCACGGCAGTTGGAACACGAAGCCGCAAAGGCAAGGAGAAACAAATCCTCTCCATCTTCTCCCCGAGGCACGGTCAGTGGGCACGGTGTTTTGGAGGACACTGTTCTTCCCTCCACCCCGGACAAAGGGGTCATTGCTGTTTGACTGCATCCCCTTTGGTCCCCTTTTGAGGCATTCCGACTTCACCAAAGGAACCAAAGAAGCGCGCTCCCAGTGCCAACAGCTCCAAGCGACTGCGGACTTACCAACTCTTACAGCAAATATACCCTGCCAACTCTGAACATGAGCTCCGAGAGCCACAAGGCAGTGTCTTGGCTGAAGGATGGACGTTCCAAAACAAGTTGAGAATGGTGCTTTTTGTTTTTCATTTGAGCTTATGCGTGCTTGTTTGGCTGGTTGTTGTACTGTAGCCGTCAGTGTTTAAAGGGTTACTTTCTATACATAACTGTACATAATAATTTCCACGGACAGATAGTTTGCAAAGTACCCTATATATGTCTCAAGCAACTCACGGGTTGCATAATCATTGCGTGGTCCATTGCATGGATAGCTTTCAGTGTTTCAAGAGTGAGCATTTTTTCAATTTCTGAGTTTCGTGCCTTTCGATACTTTTGCTGTCCTTCTTTAAGGAGCTCAAGACGGAGGCGACCCTGCTTCTCAAAAGTTCACAGGCTGCCAGCGGTTTGCAGCAAAGCTTGCAGAGCTGCGTGCGAGGCCCAAACCTGATCCGGTGGAACAACAAACGATGGCTGCCATGATGCTTCAGGCCTGGGTCATTCACCAAGGGCCAGGTCATGTGAAAACCCATGTGGTCTTAGGTCTTTGCGTTTTTGCTTTCCCTTAATCTTAAAGTCAATTTGGTCACACTCAGGTGTTATCATATTACATTCAGGTGTTACAGTAGCCCGTCCGACTTTTGTTCAAAAGCCCCGTTGCATGTGACTACCACCTGGAGGCGGGGATTGGAGGTTGGGGCTTGAGCATTGTGAAGTTGAAGACTTCATTGAATTTAATGAAATTGGATTTGGATGAGTTTGGATGATCCTCATGAGTTTAGTTAGGATTGTCGATGATCAACCAACCCCTCACCTATCACCAGGCAGATCATGCCGGTGGATTGGTGACTTTGAAAGTGGAGGAGGCCAGGGAGCGGGAGACACGATGAGGGAAGAAGGGACAAGTTGAGGTCGACAAGTTTTCACACCGAAGGCATTTTGCCCTCAGGTCAAGTTTGTTCACCACTCGTCACATTAACTCATCACATTGCCTAATTCGGAGTTGGACGCATTATTCCCCGACACCCAGGTCGACCTACACTCCACGTTCTGACAAACTTTCTATCAGAAAGACACGCATAGTAGCTAGACCTTCCAACTATGCAACATGTCTGCATGTCATGTTCAATCCTTTTCATTTTGACCTGACAATTCTTCGAACTTCGTGAGCCATGGACATGTACCTTGACCCACAGCTTCACAGGGAGGTGCACCAGAGTGGCGAGAAGACATGGATCTTTAAGTTCAAAGACCACCGTGCAAATCGGTGGCACGAATGGTGCTATGTGCGTGAGCGGAAAGGGTCTGACCGGCAGGAATCATAGGGGGCTATCTTCACGGCCGCTGGAGGGCCAATCACCTTTAGAAGGCTGACGAAGAGCCAGAAACCAGCGATTGGGTCAGTTGGCAAGTGGCGCATGGCAGATGATGGAAACAGCTTCGAGTTCCTCAATTGGGCCTGCTGCTTTGGTGCAAACTTGCTGCCGTGGTTGGTGTGGACTTTGGACTTGTCCTATGCCCCGCACATTGCAGCCTAGCCTGTTTTGTGTAAGTTGTTCATCAATTTTCTGGTCACATAATTTTACAGTATAGGCTATAGGTTTGAAGGCTTGAAGCTCAGCCCAAGGTCTTCCGCGAGCAGCATCGTTCAATGCTGCTGATGGGGTGCCTGGATGAGTTCTTCTTGCTTCCTCCGCCCTCGCTACCTCCTCCCCAAGTGCCACGGGTGATTCCTTTGGGTTGGGAGCCGCCACAGGTGGTACTTGCAATTCGTGAAGACCCAGCGGCAAATGCAGGATCCATGACCTCGCAGCCATCAGCCTCTGCAGGATCCATGA